ATGAAATAATCGAAGCCGTCCTGTCTTAGCAGTTTGATGCGGCAAGAACATATTTTAAAGTTTGAGAGGATATATATAAGAACTAAGAGCTGGTGCACCATTGGTAAAGAAAGCAAGGCAAGACTGGCAAACAAAACGACACAACATATACCACTGTGTGTGTAAATTAGTGGAGCGGCGGCCTTCTTGAGTTTACTTGATATATTTCATACCTAATGATCAGACAATGTATAACACAGTACTTGTGAGGAATTGTGCGCGCCGCTACGAAAGTAAAATTCACGTTCAAACCTGTGAACTATTTATGTGTCAGGTTACATATAAATCGTTTTTGCGAAATTGTGTGGCTGATAATTTAATATCGCAATTTTTCAGCATTTTGATATTGAAATTACTGTCACAACGAATCGGGATGTTTCCTTTGTAGTTTTGTCGACGAAGCGTTTTTGAAGGCAAGATGAATTGGCTGTGATGATTACAAAAATTTTGACGTTTATGTAACAGTGAAACATTTTTTGAACTGTTCTAATGTACAAGGTTTATGTAATTCTTGCCAAGTTCGTGGTCTTCGTTGAACTAGCTAAGTAAGCAACATTTGAAGTGCGTCAGTAATCATGTTTTTCTTGTTTACTAAACATGTATGTGGTAAGAGGCTCGAGATTCTTTATTTAACCTTGATGTCCTTACAATATAATACAGGGTATTTATGAAACAGAATTTATCTTTGCTAGAATGAACCATGGTTGTATGATGGCGTAAGTTCCGATTAATTTTCGAATTGCATTGTGCCTACAATAATTTCAGGAAGTGCTTAAAATGTAAACTCAGATTATTTCCGTTTTAAGAGTTTTCCGCTTAAGGCTGAAGGACACGCCGCATTACTACATAGTCAGATGTATGGTGCTTGTTATTGCTACTGTAGTAATTGAGCTTGTTCCAATTGTGATTGTGCGAACAGTCTTAATTGCCATGTTAAATAACATATAAAGTGATTCAGTTTTCTGCGTGAGCAGGAATTTAACTGTTATGAGACAACTTGTTATCCTGATTGCTATCACGTTATCATGGATATGTGCAATAAGGAGTAAAAATGGCTCTTTCGGGTGATGACCGATGCACTCTCAGTTGGTGTAAAAAATCGTTTAATATATATTATCAATAAATCAAACTTTTTTCATGAATTCAAACTACTGCATTACATCTTTCAATCAATTTTCGCGCGTAATAAGCTAAAGCTTTGAATGATATAGTTCAAAGCATTCTGGCCTTCTGTTTGTTTTTTATTTCTAATCTTTTTCCCGATCAATTTTCTTTGTTTCCCATCAGCAGTTACAGGAAAGGAATAAACACTTCTTTCCGAGTTTTCCTTTATTACTTTGTTTGGAGATCGATTCTGCTGTTATAAATTGTCTTACAAGCGCTAGCATACCATTAATTGCTGATGCTTTACTGGGTGCTAGTTTACCTTTGGTGCTATTCTCGTAGATTTTTGATTGATTGATTTGATTTCAGTTAACAAACTGTCGATTTGCTGATATTATTGTATGATTAACCTCTCTTAAGTTTTAATTAGGTTTGTAAGAACACAGGACACGGTTGTTATTACGGCATTGAAATGTATGAATTTTTCCTCATTTTTAGATATAGCTTAATAGAACTGACGACGCACGCCGGCGTCTCATCGCCTCTCTTGAATCGTCTTGAAAGTTTTCGCTTCGTTCGTCAGTATCACAGCCGTAATGATGATAAAAGCATTCACATCGGTGTTCACCAGGAATTATGTACAGTTCAAATCTGTCTCAGCTTCTTCCATTAGTTACAGGTAACTAAATTGTAACTTTTTTTAACATTCCACTTTCGATTCAGTTGAACACAAATTCTAGATCTGAATCAAAAGCATGTGCCTGCAGACTTGTGTGCAGAAGTGAACAGTTGACTATGAGGTGCATGATCCGTAATCACGTATTTTTGAAATATTACAACTTGCACTATAGAAAAATCTATTAGATAAATGGCGATTGAATGTCTCTCTCAACTTACGAACATACTTTGTTCTGTGACAACCATTCGTAAGGCGAAAGTTCATAAACGAAACGTCAAACCTTCACTGGTTTCTGTGTATCACATTCTCGGCGAAAAATCGACTTCTAGAAACTGCATATACTGTTTTTCGCGCATAAGTTGCAATACATCAAATCCTTCGGTGGGGAAAACGAACATATTAGTGAAAGTACTAGAAAAAAAGCTACATAAAACCGAAGAATTTAGGTACCCTGCAAGACGATGGGAAAATCGGCAGTGAATTAAGAAATCGGTCAATAAAGCGTGGCTGAAAT